TATGGGCTGGTCCTTGGGAGGGAAGAGCCACTGCTGCTAGCGAAGCCCCACCCGAGCTCTGGGGATCAAAGGCAGCGGGCGGAGGTGAATAGATGCAGCAACTATTCATCTCCCTGCTGAATGGACTTGTCAGCCAGCGCCGATGAGAGAAAACTTTTTACCGGCGCTGCTAATAAAGGAATAATTGATTTAACTACAGAGGATTTGTCAATTTTGGGGAGCTAGGTCAGAACACTGGAGGTTATTTTGGGGGGGGGGGTGTTCTTCTGTGTTTTTTCACCATACCACTAATAAACCAATGAACTTCTTAAAAACTTCCAGTGTTGGAGCATTTCACAACTTCCGGAGGGAAGTTGTTCCACTGATTAATTGTTCTAACTGTCAGGAAATTTCTCCTCAGTTCTAAGTTGCTTCTCTCCTTGATTAGTTTCCACCCATTACTTCTTGTCCTATCCTCAGGTGCTTTGGAGAATAGCTTGACTCCCCTTTCTTTGACTCCCTCTTCTCTGAGATATTAGAAGACTGCTATCATGTCTCCCCTAGTCCTTCTTCTCATTAAACTAGACATACCCAGTTCCAGCATCGGTTCTTCATATGTTTTAGCCTCCAGTCCCCTAATCATCTTTGTTGCTCTTCTCTGCACTCTTTCTAGAGTCCCCACATCCTTTTTATATTGTGGTGACCAAAACTGAATGCAGTATTCCAAGCGTGGCCTTACCAAGGCATTATAAAGTGGTATTAACACTTCACATGATCTTGATTCTATCTGTGACTTGCCTGTCTATGTGAGTGGTGTTAAAGATTCTTTGATTAGGCTGTTCATTGATGGCTCTTTGGAAGTTTCTTTATTGGGATATTTTTTACTTGTTAGTCTGACATTAATTTTGAAATTAATATATGCTGATCTGGGTGCTGAATACTGATGAAGAGTGCTGGAATCTTTTTGTTCTCTTTTGGGATGGTTGATTGTCTCTTTTGCATAGTCTATAGATGTTATTAATGTCTCTGTGTCTATTGCGGTCTGATTTGTGCCAGGCTTCTAGAAATTCTCTGGCATTTTTAGACTTGGCCTGGTCTAGGATTATCACATTTTCCCAATTGGAACTATGGTTAAATCTGCCCATATGTTATAAAATTAAAGAATTTTCACCATATCTTCTGATTGCCAGTTGCTGTTCATGGATGTGTTCTGCCAGTTTTCTGCCTCTTTGCCTTCCATAGTGATTGTAGCAGTTCTTACATTGTATGTTGTAGGTGCCTCCTTTTTTTTTTCTGGGATTGCTGGATCTTTTACTGGGTCTTATTAACACTGATTATGTTACCTAGTTGGCATAATGAAATGTCTGCCGGAAAACAAGCAAGTTCAGAGAGCACCAAGAATCCCACTTTTCAACCCTGGGCTACAAATATTCTCCTTTATTGGTATAATACATATAGTAAGGAACAAGTAGGACTTGGACAAAAAGTCCACCAATTCACCCTAGATTCCTGAGATGCAAGATAATTAGGCCTACAGAAAATTTCACATAACTAAAGACTATCATTTGGAGGCTGCAGCTGATCCAAAAGTAATAACTGTGAGCTGCACATTTTTTCATCAGGGCTACCAAATGCAATTCAAGCTGTTGTCATCTGTCTCTAGTTATATCTGTCTGTACTATACAATTTGACAAGATTGGCATAGTTCAAGTCCCTTCAATAGTTTGAATCCCTTCAATAAAACAATGCTAGTTATGGAACTAATGAGGCATACATTTCTTTGCCACAGTTTCTGCCATTATGGAGTACCCTAACCCAGTGGTTCTCAAACTTTTCTTCACCACAAACTCCCTTAAAATATTTTTTGGGTCCACAGACCATGGCCATGGGCCACCAAGACTTAACTCAACTTTTAAATCATAACACTTCTTTAAGCCTTTGCAGAATTCCCATGATGACATCGCCACGCACACCCCTCAGGCATGTGCATACTACAGGTTGGGAACCACTTCCCTAACTCATCTCAGCCAGCCTCTAAGAAGCTCTATTTTACTTTTTTCCACCAGGAGCAGAAGTTAAATGAGCCAAGTTATATGTTTAAGTAAACACAGTCACCCATACTTTAATCACCTCCACTCTTGACTACTGCAATATACTCAAAGTGGGGCAGTCCTTGAAAAGTAACCTAAGCTTCAATGGGTCAAAATAGGCAACCCACATTATTTTGTTCAAGTACAGATTTACATACGTATGTATCACGTTTCTTGCAGAAGCTGCCAATTTACTTCTGGTTACAATTCAAGAGGCTGGTTGTCATATTTAAAACTCTACATTGCCTGTGGCCAGATTATTTCAAGAACCATCTTTGCCAAGTTATGCCTACCTATCTCATCAAAGTTGGGAGGCAGGGTTTATTATGAATACCCTCTCTTAAGGAAATCCATTTGGTAGGACCAAGAAGAAGGGCTTCCTCTTTGTGGATCATCATCTCTGCGGAAATAAGTTTGGCCCCCACTTTGACACTTTCAAAAGGCCCTGAAGACATAGTTTTAGCTAATAGGTCTGGAGGTCTCAGGAGATATGGAGCCCATCAAATAGTTGGTATGATTGTTATCATTAGGGGGTCATTGAGTTTTGTATTGAGGGTTTCATTAGCGACTCACAGTGGATGAGTTGATAAATAAATAAAAATCATATGAATTATGTTTGCTTCTTGATACAGCACAATTTTTTTCTTCTTACAATAACTCTTCAAGTTATCTTGAGATAAGATGGCCTATGGGGTTTAAATAAATGTTTTAACCTTTATTAGCCCTTTAGAATTGATTGCCAAATAGTCGATCATTATTTATTATTATATCAATTTATGTGATCATTTTTAAATAGTTACAAATAATGTAGAATGTTTTTTAAAAAAATAATAATTATGATCATTATCCTAATAAAACAAAGTAATATAAAGAAAGGAATCTGAAGGTGTTATCAAAATGACAAAACATCCATTGTGACATTACATGCTCTGTCCTTTAGATATGTGTATATATATGTATTAGATGCATATATAAAAGGAATTAAGTTTATGTCATGAAGCAAGTTATGTCACAGTCCCTAAGGATGCCCATTGTTTTAATGGTATTTCTTTTCTTACTCACCAACATATTTGATAATTCCTCCTGTTTCTGAAATATAATTTTTCATATCATTTATATCTTCCACAACTGTTTCCAGGTTTTCAATTAAAACCTTTCTTTGTTCATGTAATTCCTCTATCTTATTTTCTAGATAAAAAATAGAAAGCATTTGATAAAAATATACTTACAAGGTATGTTAAGATAATCTTTAATATAACCATATATTAAGTAATATTAATATAAATTTTAAATCTTCAAAGGAAGATATCTTTATGAAGTGACTGCATTAATCAATTTATAGAATTTGGCCCAGATAAATGCCAACCTACATGAAAGTAAGCAATATTGAAATCAATGATTTTTTTTTAATATATAAGAATGTTTTCAGACAATGATTTCAATTGTTCACCTTTAACAATGAATTTTACAGTATAGAGGCTGCAGGTCCTATTGTCTTTACCAGGGACGTGCAGTCACTAGAGGCAGGGGAGGCGTGGCCTCACCAGTCATGAGGAAAAGGAAAGAATTTTAAAGAATTTTTTAAAAATAATTAAAGCCAAGGTAGTTGCTACCAGATTCACAGTGACTTAGAACAGTGCTTTGTGTTAACCATAGGAGGAGGTAGGGGCGTCCTGTGCATAAGGACTTTTTTGCCTTTTAAGAGATAACCAAGGGTTAAAATGCGAAGAATTCCTTATGCAAATGAGGCATGTATTCTCTCGCCTCCTGTAGAGGGCATTTTTAGAGGCTTTTTAGAGTTCTCTGGGAGCAACTAGCTCAGTCTGACAGAGCTCTGGCCTTTCATGAGAGGAGGGCAGGGCAAGGCAGGCAGAAGCAGAGTTGAAATCATCTCTGAAACAGCTGGAAAAAGGTGCGTGTGTGGGGAGGGGGGAGGAATTCAAAAAGTTTGATCGGAAGGCAGCAGGGGAAGGGGGGGATATGGCAGAGGAGCTGCTTTCAAGCCTTTGGAAAATATATCCAATCCAACTTCTGTGTTTGTTTGAGAGGGAGGGAGGGAGGGAGAGAGGGAGGAAGGAGGGGGAGAGAGAAGAAAAAAAAAGGGAAAACTTATTTTGCAAGAGGGGAAAATGCTGTCACTTTAAATCGGAACTGAGCATGCCTGGCTGTGGAATTCTGGGAGTTGAAGTCCACAAGTCTAAAAAGTGCCTCACCAGCCCTAAAGCTGACCGCACGTCACTGGTCTTTACTGTTCGTATTTTCCATGATTTCCTCTGGCTGTCTTTTTAAGCACAAAAATCTATTAAGACTGAAGCATGTTATCTTTGATATATAGGGTTAAGAGCAGCCAACCTGATAAATTACTACATTTAACTTAGCTTCATGTTTTTCTTACTTTGTTATAACAAATGACCAGAAGCACAATTCCAGTTAATATTAAATTATTTTCATTGATTCAGACATACAATTGTCCTGCCCACTCGCAGGCTTGCAAAATGTCTCCTTTCAGGGTTAAAAATCCAAGTGTTAATGACATATGATGGTCAAGGGCTAAGAACAAATAATGGCTCAACAGATCTTGCAGAGAGAATCTTCATAAAAAGGGCTACAGACGATGCAGTAGAATCAGTGGTGGGTTCCTACCAGTTCGAACTGGTTGGGCGACCTGGGTCGCTGAAACTGGCAGCGACCCAGACCTGCCATGCCCCCAAACCAGTTCTTCGGATGGCAGCACCATTTTGTTTTTCAGTTCTGCGCATGTGCAGAACAATTTTAATTGCAGTATGCATAAGCGTGCAGCATGCATCAAGTGCATGCACATGCACGAAATGCTCACATAAGCGAACCAGCAGTACTGCCTGCTGGAACCCATCCTTGAATAGAATAGTAAAATAATTCTAACAGATACAAAAACATGCTACATCAAGGCGGTGCTGACGTCGCAGTGAAATGGTTGGGTGATCTTGGTGCTCCAAGATCGCTGCCGATATCCAGGTGGCTGGACACTCCATCCGGACCTAAACGTCACGTAGAGATGGTAACAGGAAGGAGCACATCCTGTTGATCCCACAGACATTGCAAAGTCTCTGGTGATCTGGGAAAAAACCCTTTTATCAGCGACTGCGAGGCAGCCATTAATTACTGCTGAAACTGTTGACAATTCTGGAATGCAAGGGCAAGAGAGAGTATGTCGTCTTGGTGAAAATTTCTTTTTTTTTTAATTTGAGAGAACACCCTAAATAAGGAAAACTTAAATTAAAAGTGAAGACTGAAGAGAATAAGTGGCAAATTTGAGCCAAAGTCAAACTGAACGTTTTTCCCCCCTCTTTTTATTATTGGAATTTAACCGGACTTTACAAATGCAGTTTACTTTTACACCGGATTGATTTCTTTTCTTCCTTTTATTTTTGGATATACTGACATAATAAAGTTTTATTGTCTAAGAGTTTTTTTCTATTTTTTTAAAGATTTTATTGTACCTTTTCTCTTTTGAATTTTTATTTAGGAATAGGAATAGGAATAGGAAAGTTTATTTATAGGCCACCCTTTTCCCTGGGGGGACTCAGGGCGGCTTACAATTCATGGGGAGGGGAATACAAACAATGAGACATAAAACTTTATTATGTCAGTATATCCAAAAATAAAAGGAAGAAA